TGGATAAGAAGGAAGTGAATCAGTCCTCCTGCAGCAGCTGCCACAGTGCACGACTGGGGGTTCGAGGGGAGCAGGATCAAACTCTTCTAACACTGGAGGATGTTGACATTGTGGGACTGCTACAGAAGCATTGAAACAGAATACTGCCTTTTCAGGGGCCCCCAACGGCAGTGTGTGAAACTGTAACAAGGAAACTCTTTCCCAAAAGCAGTGTATGAAATGCAGTGTAGAACACTGGAATACATGTATCCTGTGATGTCATGTGGGTCAAATGAATAAAGAAATAGGCAAGTCTTGACAAATGTTCACAAGGCCATAATCCAGCAGCAGCATGAGCTGGTTATACAGATGCCCTTTGTGAGAGATGAGTGGAGAACTCTAACACTGACCAAGAACGACTCTGGGCCATGCAGCAGAATGAGAGCTTACGTGGGAGACAACTTGTTGGCTCTGAGGTCTCAACACAGCCAGGAGACACACACACACACACACACACACACACACACACACACACACACACACAGAGAGAGAGAGAGAGAGAGAGAGAGAGAACCTGCTGTAGAGTTTCTGGAATGCTACCAAGTTTATCACAACTGCATCTCTAGAAAAGACAGTGATTTCCTTTGTGCTTGGGTTGGGCAATGTGTGTGTAAAAAAAAAAAATCTAAAAGTGTATGTGAACTGAGAGTATGTCCTGGAAGGAAAGTTAATATATCTGTTAACCATAAGAGATAGTGACCCACTAGAGGCAAGCAACTTGGCAACCACCATTCTGTGTAAGTTCTCAGGTTTTTAGTTTAAAACGTAAAATAGTGAATCCCCGAAAACTCTTGACCATTCAAATAATTTTGTCTTTCAGGATTGACATGTATGCAGAGGGTATTGCCGATCTCAGTGAAATGATGGGACAACTGGTTGTCACACCCCCAGATCAAAAAGAAGCCAAGATTGCTTTGATAAAAGACAGGACCAAAAACCGGTACTTGCCTGCCTTTGAAAAAGTAAGTAGGCTCTTTGAAGTCTGGGGACACTGAGTTTCAAGGACAAGAGAAAGGCAGAGGCCCAAGAGGAAGTTCACTGCCTCACTGACCTTCCATGAGCCTCCTGTGCAGCTCCCTGGCCCTCAGGGCACTGTATAAAAGTGGCCTGTGTTGGAGCACTGCATGGTCCTGTAGAGTTTCTGGAATGCTACCAAGTTTATCACAACTGCATCTCTAGAAAAGACAGTGATTTCCTTTGTGCTTGGGTTGGGCAATGTGTGTGTAAAAAAAAAAAATCTAAAAGTGTATGTGAACTGAGAGTATGTCCTGGAAGGAAAGTTAATATATCTGTTAACCATAAGAGATAGTGACCCACTAGAGGCAAGCAACTTGGCAACCACCATTCTGTGTAAGTTCTCAGGTTTTTAGTTTAAAACGTAAAATAGTGAATCCCCGAAAACTCTTGACCATTCAAATAATTTTGTCTTTCAGGATTGACATGTATGCAGAGGGTATTGCCGATCTCAGTGAAATGATGGGACAACTGGTTGTCACACCCCCAGATCAAAAAGAAGCCAAGATTGCTTTGATAAAAGACAGGACCAAAAACCGGTACTTGCCTGCCTTTGAAAAAGTAAGTAGGCTCTTTGAAGTCTGGGGACACTGAGTTTCAAGGACAAGAAAAAGGCAGAGAACCCAAGAGGAAGTTCGCTGCCTCACTGACCTTCCATGAGCCTCCTGTGCAGCTCCCTGGCCCTCAGGGCACTGTATAAAAGTGGCCTGTGTTGGAGCACTGCATGGTCCTGCCTGTCAGGTGGTCCATACAGAAGTGGGTGCATGGCCACAGCCAGAACTTGATCTGTGGAAGCCTGAGCCACACCAGAGCATGAAAAGACCAAACCTAAGGATAATAGGTATAGAAGAAAGTGAAGAAACACAACTTAAAGGTGCAGAAAACATATTCAACAAAATCATAGAAGAAAACTTTCCCAGCCTAAAGAAAGACATGCCAATGAAAGTACAAGAAGCCTACAGAATGCCAAATAGAGTGGACCACAAAAGAAAGTCCCTCATCACATAATAATTAAAACACCAAACATACAGAATAAAGAAAGAATATTAAGAGCATCAAGGGAAAAAGGCCAAGTAACATATAAAGGCAAACCTATCAGAATTCCACCGGACTTCTCCATGGAAACTCTGAAAGCCAGAAGGACCTGGTTAGATATTCTACCAACTCTGAGAGAACATGGGTGACAGCCCAGACTACTATACCCAACAAAACTTTCAATCACTATAAGTGGAGAAAACAAGATATTCCATGGCAAAACCAGATTTAAACAATATGTAACCACTAATCCAGACCTACAGAAAGTACTGGAAGAAAAACTCCAACCTGAGGAAATTAACTACTCTCACATAAACATAGGCAATAGATATTCCCACTTTTCAAAAACACAAAATAAAAAGAAGGGTAAATCCACATACAATACCACTACCAACAACAAATCCAAAACAAAAAAAATAAACACTCAATGGACCTTAATTTCTCTCACTATTAATGGTCTTAACTTGCCTATAAAAAGACACAGGCTAACAGATTGGATGCGAAGACAGAATCCATCCTTCTGCTGCATACAAGAAACACACCTCAAATTCAAAGACAGACATTACCTCAGAGTAAAGGGTTGGGATAAGATATTCCAATCAAATGGACCTGAGAAATGAGCTGGGGTAGCTATCCTAGTATCTAACAAATTAGACTTCAAATTAAAATCAGTCAAAAGAGATGAAGGTCATTTCATATTCGTCATAGGAAAAGTCCATGAAGATGAAATCTCAATTCTGAACATCTATGCCCCAAATACAAAGGCACCCACGTTTATAAGAGAATCTATTCTTCTAAGCTTTAACATCTAAAAGCTACCCATTTTGTGTGATCCAAACAAAGCCATAAGGACTGAGGTATATACATCTTTGAGAGGCTTTTTATTCTGCTTACAATAATTTTTAGGTGAAATTTCTATAAAACAGAAAAACAAAGCTAAATAGATAAAAATTTATGAGATGGGGCATATTTCATTGAAAGCAGACATAAGAGGTCTGTGATGTGTAAAATTAGTCTGGGGTCATATTTGCAAAGTTCTGTATTTTACTAAAACTCAAGTTGCATACTCAGTGGATAAATTTTACAAGATAGAAAATGTAATTTAGATGAATAAAGCAAACTAAAATAATTTATTAACATTGTGCTATTTAAGTGAGCGTTGATTAATAAAAAGCTGTTATTTGAAATTTTAAGTTCTGGTTAATTTCTTTTCTCCTAATCAATTGAATGAATATTTTGGGTTCATCAATAACACCTTGGAGTTTCATATAATGTAATGTATATCACTTAACTAAATGAACAATATTGTGCACAGTGAAAGACTTCTACATTCAAAAACAAAGAGTAAAACAAAGATCTTTTTTCAATCCCTCCAACACATGAGTTATGACCAGGCAGACAGACATGCCAGAATTGGTTCTTACAGCTTCATCCTAGCATGTCACAAAGTCAGACACACACACACACGCCTCTGAGAATAAAATGGTGGCCTGTGGACTGCTGAGGTCCCACCATCAGCCCCTCCAAACTGAGCTACTAGACCCTGGTTTCAGACATGAAAATAATATTTTTCTATATGGAGGTTGGGGGCTGGTACCCCAAGAAGAATATATATGTATTTTTTTTGCGGTAAGAAAGCCACAGGACTCCTTTTGTTTTTGAGGGCTTCTATTGGCCTTCATCTTCCATCTCCTGTCCTGTCTGTGCACACTCAGTGACTGAGCAGGTCTCTGTCATGCTCAATCCCTTCCTCAGCTCTGACTTCTCAGCACTGTGCTTCCCTCTCCACAGCTCCCACCATGCTGTCTCCCACCCCCAGTGTCCCCATCCTTATCCCCCAGTGTGAAAACTGGCTGTCAGTTGCTCCTGGTTAGACTTTGATATTTTCTGTCCCCATTTCCAACTCAGGTTCCCATGTCTTCAGTTTTCTTTGGTAGTCTCTCCTGTCACACCTGAGAGACACAGAGCTCTGTGCTCTACCCCCACAAAACCAGATGTACACGGTGTGCCTAGGGTCCTGAGGAGAAGGTGTTGGTGTCAAAGGAGGTTTTAAGGAAGGTTATGCTGACCTATGGTTTCTAGCACATGGTTTTGTCATTCTTCTCCTGTCTACAATGGAGATGTTGCAAGGATGCAGGTGGTCGTGTTCTGGGAGGGGTTCAGATTTTTTTGGAGTGTCCACATGAGCAGTTCTGAATCTCAGGTTTTGTTTTCTGGATTACAGGCCCTGAAGAGCAGACTCAGCAACCTGCCCAATGTGAAGAAGTTCCTACAGCCTGGCAGCCAAAGAAAGCCTCCCATTGATGAGAAAGTACTTGAAAAGGCAAAGAAGATTTTCAAGTTGTCATAAAGCAGCATTGATGGAACCTACAAATAGCAGTTTCTTATATTTTTAAGTAATAAAGCACAGTTGTTCTTCCTGGCTCTTGTTATATAATAAATATGAACAAATGATATCTGAATCTCATGTGTTCAAAGCTTTGCAAAATGAGGAAAAACTAAATAAAAAAGAAGACTAACAAAAGAAAAGAAGTGATTAACATCAAGAAGTTTTTTTTCCTTTTTTCTTTTAAATTTTTTATTGATTTTATATACCAACCACACTTCTCCCTTTCTTCCTTCTCTCATCCCCCTCCCCCAATCAACCTCATCTACTTCTCAGAAAGGGTAAGGTCTGTCATGCAGAGTCAACAAAGCCTGGCACTATATGTTGAGGCAAGACTAAGCCCCTCCCACTGCATCTAGGTTGAGCAAAGCATCCACCATAGGGAATGTGGTTGATAAACCTCGATCGTGAAACAGAGACAGATCCTCGTCCCACTGCCAGGGGCCCCTCAGACAGACAAAGGTACACAACTGTTGCACACATGCAGAGAGCCTAGGCAGCCCCATGCAGGCCCCAAGCTGTCTGTCTAGAGTCTGTGAACTCCCACAAGATCAGGTCAGGGGACTCTGTGGCTATTCTTTGCCTTACATCTAGTATCCATTTGTGAGTGAGTACATAACTGTGTTTGTCTTTTGGGGTCTGGGTTACCTCACTCAGGATGATTTTTTTCTAGTTCTATCCATTTGCCTGCAAATGTCATGATGTCATTGTTTTTTACAGCTGAGTTACATTCCAATTTTTTTTGTGTGTGTGTGTGTTGAGATTTACTTTGTGACCAAATATGTGGTCAGTTTTTTGTTTGTTTGTTTGTTTTTTCGAGACAGGGTTTCTCTGTGGCTTTGGAGGCTGTCCTGGAACAAGCTCTTGTAGACCAGGCTGGACTCGAACTCACAGAGATCCACCTGCCTCTACTCCCAAGTGCTGGGACTAAAGGTGTGTGCCACCAATGCCCGGCTTATGTGGTCAGTTTTAAAGAATGTTCCGTGAAGTTCTGAGAAGAAGGCATATTCTTTTGTGTTTGGGCAGAATGTTCTATAGATGGCTTTTAAGCCCATTTGAGTCATAACATCTGTTAGTTCCCTTATTTCTTTGTTAATTTTCTATCTGGCAGACCTGTACATTGGTGAGGGTAGGGTGTTAAAGACTCCCGCTATTAGTATGTGGGATTTGATGTGTTATTTAAGCTTTAGTAATGCTTCTTGTACGAATGTGGGTGCTCTTGTATTTAGGACATAAATGTTCAGAATTGAGACTTCATCTTGATGGATTTTTTCCTGTGAGGAATATGAAATGAGCTTCTCCATCTCTTTTGGTTAATTTTAGCTTGAAGTCTATTTTGTTAGATATTAGGATAGCCACACCAGCTTGTTTCTTAGGTCCAGTTAATTGGAAATTTTTTTCCCAACCCTTTTACTCTGCGGTAACATCTGTCTGTGAAGTTGAGGTATTTCTTGAATGCAGCAACAGGCTAGCTCCTGTTTTCATATGCATTCTGTTAGCCTATGTCTTTTAAAAGGTGAATTGAGTTCATTGATATTGTATTAATAACCAATGCTTGTTAATTCCTGTTATTTTCTGATGGAATTGTGTGTGTTTCCCTTTTTTGGGATTTGTTGGCATGAGATTATCTATTACCTGTGTATTTGTGGGTTTAGCTAACTTCCTTGGGTTGGAATTTTCCTTCTAGTACTCTCCGTTGGGTTGGATTTATGGCTAAGTGTTGTTTAAATCTTGTTTTGTCATGGAATATCTTGTTTTCTCTATCTACGGTATTTGAAAGTTTTGCTGGGTACAGTGGTCTGGGCTGCACCTGTGGTCTCTTGGTGTCTGTATAACAGCTGTCCAGGACCTTCTGGCCTTCAATCTCCATTGAGAAGTCAGGTGTTATTCTGATGGGTCTGCCTTTATGTGTTACTTGGCTTTTTTTCCTTTGCAGCTCTTAATATTCTTCTTTATTCTATATGTTTAGCGTTTTGATTATTATGTGGGGGAAGGGGCTTTTGTTTTGTTTTGTTTTGTTTTTTTTGGTCCAGTGTATTTGGTGTTCTGTAAGTTTCTTTTATCCTCATAGGCATGTCCTTCTTTAAGTTGGGAAAGTTTCTTCTCTTATTTTGTTGAATATGTTTTTGTGCCTTTGAGCTGGTATTCTTCCTCTTCTTCTATCCCTGTTATTCTTAGGTTTGGTCTTTTCATGGTGTCCCATATTTCCTGGGCATTTTGTGTTATGACTTCGTTGGCTTTAATGCTTACTTTGATTGGTGAATCTATTTCCTCTATGGTATCTTTTACTCCTGAGATTCTCTCTTCCATCTCTTGCATTCTGTTGGTTATGTTATCATCTGTATTTCCTGTTTGTTTACCCAGATTTTCTGCTTCCAGAATTCCCTCAGTTTGTGTTTTCTTAATTGCCTCTTTTTCAATTTTCAAGTCTTGGAACTGTTTCCTGTATCTGTTTGATTGTTTTTTCTTGGCTTCCTTTAAGGGGCTTATTAATTTCTTCCATTTTTTTCTTTTCCTCAATTTCTTTAAGGAAAATTTTCATTTCCTCTTTCAGTGCCTCTATCATCTTCATAAAGCTTTTTTTTTTTTTAAAGGTTGTTTTCTTCTGCTTCTTCTGTGTTGGGATGTTCAGATCTGGTGAACCATCTGGTGGTGCTATCTTGCTGTTTATGTTACTGAATGTATTCTTGCACTGGTGTCTACCCATCTTTTCCTCTACCTGGAATAAGCAATGTCTGTGCCTCTGGGGGCTGCTCTTTGTCCAATGGGTGCAAGTGGTATTTGTGCCTCTGGGGGCCAGTGATGATGTGGTGGATAGTTAGGTTTGTGTGGTGGGGTGGGACTTGCAAATTACAGGGTCCAATGGGTGAGGGTGGCACATCCTCCCCAAAAGACTCTAGCCTGCTGATTGCTTAGTGGGCCTGGGATGGTGTAGGAGAAGGGCATGGAATGTACCTTGGGGGCTAGGGCCTATAGACAGGGTTGTCCTGCAATTTGGGAGCAGCAATAGAGTAACTAGTGAAATGATTTTTATTTTTTTAAGAAGGAAAAATAACAAAGAACAAAATTAAACATATAAAATTGAGATAGAGAATCTGGAGAGCTGGCTCAGAAGTGGAGAGCAATGGTTGCTCTTGCAGAGGACCAGGTTAGGTCCCCAGCATCTACCTGACATCTCACAACCACCTGTAACCCCAGCTCCATAGGATCCTAGGTCCTCTTCTGACCTCTGTGGCACTGGACACCCATGATTCATGCTTATACATGTAGACAAAACCTCTCAACACATCAAATAAGAATTAAAAATATTTTAGTACTAAAAATAAAAGAGAAGAAAATACACTTCAAGCAAAATAACAGTAACAGAAAATACCTTTGAAAAATTTGTCTTTAGCTAGGTGTGGTGGCGCATGCCTTTATTAATCCCAGCAGTTGGGAAGCAGAACTACATGGATCTCTGTGAGTTCAAGGCCAGTCTGGTCTACATAGTGAGTTATAGGACAGCCAGAGCTACAGAATAGCCATGTCCTGTCTCAAAAATGCAAAACAAGACTCTGTCCTTGCCCCCACTGGAGTCCCCTGACTTCATCCTTTCCATTCCACATCAAACCTCCAGGCCCTGTCCTGTCCTGCATATCTTCCATGAGGGCTAGCCTGGTGGGTCTGCCTAATCCTACCCTCTGCATACCCTCCCCTTCCTCAGATCTAGCCTGGGCTCCACACCCACTACCCTGGTATATTCTGGTGAGCTCTACCTATGCTGTCATCCACCTCCAGCTCAGGCCAGGATGCACAGCTTGCACACAAATCAGCCCCTCCCCCAGCTGTGGGAGGCACAGAGGTCCTTGTCCTCACAGATAAGCACTAGGGGAACCAGGAATTTTAAACATGCGGGGTTGTCCCTTCAAAGAGAGGGATGTACAACCTGGTTCCCACCCAGGAGGCTGGGAACAAATGTGGTTAACAGCCTAGTGACCTTTGAGCTATCTGTGTATCAAAGATCACACCACGTCCTCCACCATAGCCTCATCATGAGCTTGTCAATCTACAGAACCTATCTTTATGGAAGATGTCACATGTATCATGCAAAGAGCTTTGGTGTAGTCATGTCTTAAGCTTTATTGTGCCCATGGAATTGAGTTAATGATCACCAGGAATTTTTTCACCAAATAATGCTGTGCTTAAATATGCCTAGAATAAACTACTCAGGGTCAAACTACCTTCTTCCCTCCTGGGGTTGTTACTCTGCTGGTTGTAGTGGTTGCAGAGGCCCCACAAACACACAGCCAACCCCCTACTATCACCTGAATCCATTCTTCACACACCACATCCAACTTCTGATCCCAACCATTGCGACACATCCTGTGCTTTATGCCAATCTTCTGTGTCCACGTCAGACACAGAACCAACAAAAGAAATCTACATATCCATCTCTCATGGAGAACAATTCAAGCAATGAAAGGTCAAGGCAGTATCTTCCCCAAGTCCTAAAAATGTTAATGGGAGTGAGCCCCAGGACACTGATCTAAAAGAGCAATCACAAATTCCATCAAAGGTTTCTGAGTGTTTAGAGAAGAGTCAAAGAAACAGCTCAATGAAATTAAAGAAGAAAATAAATGTTTGGGTGATGCCCAAGAAAACACAAACATGAGGCTGATAGACATAATGACGACAACCTGGAATTTGAAAAATGGATTCAATAAAGAGATAGAAATATTAAAAAGAACTCAAGTTGAACTAAAGATAGAAGTGAGAAACAATGATCCAACTAGAAAATTCAGGGGAAAGTCTTAAAAATAGAATGGGTCCTTATCGTGGAGGCCTGGCATAGTATCTTCTAATTGACCCATTCTGTTTAGTGGATGGATCTACTATTTAGTACAGTAAAAGATGCTATACCAGGTCACAAAGATAAAACAGAGGGCAGAGATCACACAAAGAGTATGAAATTAAAAATACGTAAA